GTTTGGTTTTTTATTTTTTTTTTTTTTTTTTTTTTTTTTTTTTTTTTTTCAGGGTGTCTCTCTAAGCTGGGACAGGTTTCTTTTTCTTCCTGCCCCCCCCCCACCCCCACGAATACCTTGAGATAATCTTCCTTTTTCAGGAGGGCTTGAAGGTCATTAATGATGTGTTTTAGGTGTACAAACTGGGGTGTAGGTGATTACCAGACAAGAGGGATTCTGTTGTCTTGGTCCTGGGGTTAGTATTGTAGCAAGGTCTGAGTCTGGCTTTGTTGGTTTGAATGTGGGTTTGTTGGATTATTTTGGGATTGTATGTATTGTAATTGTAAGAATCCCTGCCCTAGATCCTCAAGGCATTTATCCTGATTGGTGGGATCAGAGCACAGCTTGGCTGTAGATATATCTAATGTTGCATGCTTGCGTGACAGCTAGTAGTGTGTAGGTAGCTGAAGCGGTTGGCTGACTTGCGACACAATGTTGTGGTGTGGCCATTGCAAACCTACAGTAGTATCTAGGAAGTAAATCTTTTGGGTTGGAGCATTCCAGAGTCGGTTTGCTGGAGGGGTGGAAGTTGTTTAAACTTCTAGTGAAATTTCTCTAAAGAGTCATTCCCACATGTCCGTATTTTGAAGATGTCATTGATGTACTCGAGTTATACCAGGGGGACTAGAAAAGACTGCAATATCAGGTACAGCTTGAGTTGGAACGGAGTAGGAACTTCTGGCAAAACTGTAACTCTTTATGAAGATATTTCAACCCGTGCTACATAATCTGAAACTGGTTTTCCTGTCCTTATGACAGGAATGCTGTACCCAAACTGTATTCTAACACGTCTACTAACTATATAGTTGGGCCAATAAGGTATCTTAGCCCCTCCCTACTCCTTTCACATTGCTATGCAGCAGCACCAGAGCTTTAGGTTTCCCACTCTTATAGGCGGCACCTGTGTAGACTAATTTGTCTAGAGATGCATTGCTTTCATAGGCTACAGCCTGCTTTGTCATGTGCTATGACTGGACATGTAGAGAGTGGGGGTACTAAATAGAAAGTGTCCTCACTTTAATTATAAAGGTTAGAGAAAGGTCACTTTAATTATAAAGGATAGGGAAAGCAGGTGGCACTGATAAGTGATAGCAAGTAGAAAGAATCAAAGGGGATAAACAAAGCAGTGAATCCATTGAGAGGTTATAAAAGCTAGTCCAGCTAATAGTATAGGATCCAGAGCTGAGACCATACTTAACCATAGTCTGTGGGTGACTCCTTGTTCTGCCATTTTCATGTTTTAAGCTAAACTAATTTAATTTTTAGAGAATAAAAAACTAAATTTGCCTTCACTATGAAGATGAAGAGCTGTCTGGTACTATGTGGAGAAACAATAGAAGTGGGTAAAACAGATGTCGGCAACCCATGTCCTGTGGTGCCATTAGATCCAGCCAGCAGAGTGGGTTTTGGTGGTATTTGATAATGGAGCTTTACCAGTGCCAGGCCGTGTTGCATTTTGGCTAGGCCCTTTGCTCAAGCTGTGCTGTGGTTGGGTGGTAGAGAGAAATGGTTGCCAGGTTCTAGTGCCAGCCTGCCTAGGACCTGAGCTGGGTCATTCCAGCTTGCCACTGGAAAATGGTACAGAACGCTGGTCTACATATGGCTTCCATGGAGTGGAGAAGAAGGGTAGCTTGAATCTTCCTGTGTAGTTGAGGAGAATTAAATAACTTGAGGTAAATTACACTGTGGCTACTTTCACAGGGTAAATATTTACTTCAATTTCATTATTGGGAAAGAACACAATTAAATGAAAGCTCTATAGTGGGGGGGGAAGATAGGAGACTTAACATGTTAGTGGTGGGGTTTTGTTTGTTTGTTTGTTTCTTGTTTTTTTTCGTTTTGGTCAGGTTTTGTTGCCTTTCCTGTCTCTTCCCTGAATTGCTCCTCTCTTTCTGCTTCTTCAATTCCACATTAATATCCATGTAGCAGGGAGCTGCCCTAAATCCTTAAGTTAAACATATCTTGAGTTCTCAAACTTATTTTAGCTTTCAAAAATTTAGTAAGACTCATTAGCTTAAACTTTTCATCTCATTGACTCTTTTTTTTTTTTTTTTTTCCACTTGTACTTATTCAACACTTTCTCTAGCAAGTAGAGCTTTAGTATTAATAATGTAACACAGTGCTT